ACTTTTTTACTGTTGAACTAGCTAGATGTTTAATAGTTTCTTTTCTTACACTTCTTGCCTGTGGTACTCCCAATTTCTTGCTTCCTTACCACCTACAATCTTCAAAATTCAAATGAAACACAATCACCATCTTCTATCTTTCTGAAAACTATTCCTTTATTGACCTTTTCCACACTTATATTCACTAAAGTCTTCTCATGCTGTTTAACTCTCTGTAATCCCCAGCACCCTAGTGACATTTTTTGTTTGATTTTCTGTTCAAGCAGATTGATTATGCTAAGATATTTTTTAATCATTTCATCCCAAGTAAGGCAATAAAGTAACTAAGACACACTGAATGTGAAAGAATATCAGAAAAAATATTAAGGAGAGAGAATAATAAAAGAACAGGAATTAAGAAGACAAAAGGTTAACATTGCATTTAAATTTTTGAAGATCAAAGTTGACTGGAAAGCAAGAGACTGGAATAGAATCATACAAGCAAGAAGTGCAATAGAAGAAACTGTTAGCATAGAACTTGCAGTTACATCTCGTCATTTCAACTGAAAAATGATGAGACCTAGCTGCCAATCTAGTACTACTCTTAAATTCATAAATTCTAGGCACCATAAAGGAAAGTTCATCAGAAAAATTACCATGAAAGTATTTATAGTAACAATACAGGGAAGCTATGTTATGGCATTGGAAAACATAGCAGAATATATAGCAGAAACATCAGACAAAATGTGGCAGCAATATTCAGTGCATGGATGAATGTATATTTGTAAATGTGTAAAATAGATTTTGGTTAGAAAATTTCTCTCGCACAACAACTAGCAGCAAACCTAAAAATTAAATATAATCTTTACACTTCATGTCAGTAGAAAAAAGTTATTCTGAGAAGGCTCGATGTATCACTCTCTTGGAGTTTAGCATTAGACATGCTAATGGAAGGCAAAAGAGGTTCTCTAAGATGATGTTATAGAAGCATTAAAATCAAGCCATTTCTTACCCCAGTTAAGAACAGATCATAAGTCATTTTTGAGACCAGCTGCGAATTTGACCTTATCAAATCTATCAGGCTTACCATCAAGACAGGAGAAAATAGTTATTATCAGCATAGATTCCAAGTTGAGAATTCATGACATGACTGTCATTAATGAAAATTAGGAACAATGTAGGCTCAAGGATAGGCACTTGCATTAATGCAAAAAGATCTAGAAAAATGGTCATTCAAGACAGGATTCATTTTGTAATTTGATAAGAAAGATAGAACCAGTTTAAAAATTAATCCAGAAATACCAAAGCCTTTCAACATGGGAAGAAGACCAGCATGCCAAACCTTGCCTAACACATTTGAGATATACAAAGTGTCACCATTCTTATCTAAAACTTGATAGATTCTTTCAACAATAACCATTGACGCATCAGCAGTTGACTTGGAGAAGCGCAAGCCATATTGCTTGTCTAAAAGAGGACTGTGAGGTGAGATGCTTGATGATGGAAAAGAAATAAATAAAAGAATAATTGATCATTCCTGTGACAATTTGTGAAAGAAAGTCAAAAATTGCTGAAGCTGTAATTAATAGTGATATTCTATTACTGATTAGCATACATACAATGACAAATATTGGGATGTTGTTGGACACATGAACATGGTTGACCTATTCCATCTACTTTCACAATGATCTAGTCTTTCCATTTACCAGATCTCTTTGGTTTGGAGGTAACACCTGTGCTTAATAAATAGTCACATTTAAATTAGAAAATGTTCATCATACTCAGTATTAAAATGTTGTTGAATAACAAGAGGCATCCTTACAGTACAAAAGAGTATAATGAATAATAAGGAAAATTATTACAGTCATTCTTTAAACAGGCCATTTTTAAAACAGTAGATCTCCCAACCTTCTTCCTTCATAATTATTTTCAAATTATATGCTAGTACTAAAAAACATGAAAAAACTTGTAAGGATAGTAGTTTTTATAAAGTTTCTGGTTCTCTCGATATAACAGTTAATGTTTGCTCCCTTTCACTGAAATGATAAATAGAATTTCTTGTGTATAAATGTACAATCAAATTTATTGCTATATACATTATTACTAGTTTGCAGTGTGAGAGGTACAGATGTGAATAATATTAAGTTAATAGTTATGCAGTGCTAATAATTTGAATAAAATCACTAATATTATACCAGTTGATAGTTTAGAATGAAGAAAAAGAGAAATGTAAGTTTAATCCCTTGTCAACAGAATCTATTGTTTGAAACAATGTTTAGAAAAGACGTTCTTGCTCAAAATACCAAATGTACAAAAGCAAGCAAGATAAAATATTAACAAGCAAAAACTTTTATCTTACCTCTGAAAAAGCACTGCTGGAAGAGTGTCTTTGCATATTTAACTTTATATACTTTTGCTGCTGTCATGACAATAGGTTGTGATGTCATTCACAAAGCAAGAAACTTGTATCAAGTACAGATTATTTTGAATAATGATTTTACATTTTTGAGAAACTACACTAATGATAAAAGGTTATGTTCTCACTTTTTTGTCTTCCTTTTTAATTAAACCATTAAAAGATGAAATGCTCTTGTATAAAGGAAAGTAAAAAAAATATATAGAAATTTTAAAAAAAATATTTTTTTTTAATTTATAGTGCCTTCTTGAGAGATGTTTAAAGAATATCTGTCTTGTAGTTCTAGATACAATATGTATGGAAATTATATTGTGATTCTTATTTTTTTTTTAATTTTTAATAACAGAAATAAAATCTCCTTTCCCATAAAAATAACCTTATTAGAAATAACGATTTATATGATTTGTAATTTGGATTGTTTACAAGCTGCAGTTCACAACAGAAACAAATTTTATAGATTCTATTTCTAAATATACTTATATATTGAAATCTTAATTATTTTCATTTCCATTTTTTTATAGTACAAGTGCATTATTTTCCAAACATTTCTATATTTACTAATGCATTACCTATTTAGTTTTGCTGAGTAAAAAATTTATTTAAATTATCTTAAAACATTAAGGCATAGTTGAAAAGCTGTAATGCATTTAAAAGTAAGATTGTATAGCTATTGCTGGTGAACTACCATGAATTAACAAATCCTACTACTCTCTTGACAAAAACATCTCATGTTTGCCTTTGTTATCTTTCTCCGTAATGCTCATATTAACCTAAATTTATAACTCTTACAAAACTGTTTTCAATAGAATTAGACATATTTGACATCATTTGCTTACTTATATACATCTCAGATGACCTAACAAGTCTCTACAATTACATTTTCAAAATTATTATTTTGGTACAAAAATAATTGCAATTTTTAACCATCAACTTTATATCTCTGCAATAAAATTTATTAATTGATATAAAAAACATTAGAATCTAGAGGTTGTTGCCAGCAATAAGAAGGTATGGTAGTATAGAATAATGAAAACAATTGCAAAATATCAAGATTCTTGGAAAAGTGATAATTGGTCAGAGAGAAGTTTATTAGAGTGAAATGAAGGAGGTAGAGATTTGTAGTCAGTTCTTTCAATTTCTGCAATCATTTATGAGACAGTACAGTCAGGCATTGTCATGGAGAAGAATTGGTCCTTTTCACTATATGATGTAAAAGTTGCAGTTCTTAGTGCATTTTGTAGATTCTTTTGAAATACTTCCCAGATTCAAGAAATTTGCTAACCACCACAAATCTTCTTTTGAAAAGGATTTGATTTTGGGAAGTATTTTTTATGTTGTTTTTTTTTTCTTCACATCAGTTCAAGCACTGTGCAGAATGCCATAGAATACATTTATTATCACATGTCACAAAGTAATCAAAAAACAAATTGGTTTTACTGTGCAAAAGTTACTCAGAATAGACATTGTAATAACTTTTTCATTCAGCTTGTACATGCTCATTTGTTAATCTTTTTTGATTTTGTAGTCAAATGTATAACTGTTAAAAGTTCAACATTCTGTAACCTCTGAAGTTGTTTTGTATGAGCCTTCTTCAGTAATGGTCCTCAACTGGTTGTTGTCACTCATAGAATTATATCTGCTATATTTCTCATCATCAAGACTTCTCATCTTTGTTACAAAATGTTGAACTTTACATTTGTTGATGGTCCCCTGGCCAAATGGTTGACATTACAAGCAGTTTCCACGGTTTGATATCCCATATTGAACTCTTACAATAAAATTTCTCAAATGTTCCCTTTTCCATCTTAATTTTTTCTATCTTTACTTTGACATCTTAAAAATAGCAATAAACAGTGAAAGCAAAACTATTAGAATAAATAAATAGTGTGATATTTAAACATTAAAACAAACTTAGTTTATTTTAAAATAAGTATGAAAGTTTCAAATAGTAAAAATTACAATTATTTCGATCTGCCTACTTATTTTCTCTTAACATTTTTGCTTTTCATTAGACTCTCTGGGATATTTGCCTTCTCTGAATGTATAAATATTTGGATATCTTGTAAACTGAATTATTGTTAAAAACTTTATTTTCCTTCTTGATATTTTGATCAGGTGTACTTTTTATTTTTGCAAAGTTTCCTTTGTTTAAAAAGTTCCTTATTTAAAGTTGATGCTATAATGCTTTGTAATTTGTTGGTAAATAACTATATTCTTCCATTAATATTGTTTCTTTTTTATAAGTCAAAATGTTAGTTTAGAAAAATAAGTTATTGTTAGAATAAAATATAAATTGACAATTTGTTTTGAATGATAAATAATTCTATTCTTTTTTTAATTTTAAATAGTTACACTAATTATAATTCATTCCTTTTGAATTACATCAGGAAAGATACTCTTGATATTTAGCATCATTTAAATGGTTAGTCATTTATTCTTAGACCAGGTTATTATTTATTAGTTATTATTTAATAGAAAAATAGTTTAAAAAATATTTTCCTTTCTTAAAACTTTGCTTTTTATTTTTTGTTAACTTAATATATTGATACTTTCAAAAAGAAAAATTTAAAAGCTATAGACTTTTTTATTATTTATTTTTTGTCAGCTCTAATCTATCTCCAATACATCTTCATGGAGCTACAGATGGGCGTCACTCTGCACACACTTCCCCTCTACATAGTCCTCTGCATCTGATCAAGGACAAGTCAGCAAGTGCTCCAGCATCACCAGCAGTGATGATAGGCAGTAAAGGCCCAGGGCGTCAAATCACTCTGTCATGTGATGGATCACCAGCTACTGGTGATCATACTTGGGGACCTCCAAGAATTGTAATATTGGAAAGAGAACCAGGAAAGAGCCTTGGGATCAGTATTGTTGGTAAGTTTCAGCAAGTTTATAGATTATTTTCTATTATCAATATTTAAGGTTTATTTTCTTAAAATCTATAGTAAAATCTGTTAAATTAAGCAATATTTTAAAATATTTCTGACAATAAATCTCATTAAAAATTAGAGAAATGTTATTTTTACCAGAGCCATCTGTTTCCTGGGCAATAGACACTAAAATAATTTTGATGAAGGTGAAAGTTTTTGCAAAGTTCAATGTCAAAAATGAGAGATGAATTGTCTGGAGAGTTGCTTATATAAACTGGTAGTGCATTTGGCTTCACGAGTCACCAGCAGAGCTCAAACAATATGCTAAGAAATTCTCCACAGTTCAAAGTTAGGAACACATATATATCCTGTGGATGGAATGAACAAACACAGAGGTACTTCACTGTTACTGATATACTATGAGACTGGGATGGCAATTACTATTATTAATTTTCAATAACAACCCAAACATGAAGAAATAAAGTGATTTGGATAAATGAACCCCTCAAACATTCACAAATCACCATTTTGCTACTTAGATGCGTAGCTGACGTAATTATTGTTTAGATTTTTTGATGTAGTCATTTATGATTAAAGAGCTCTCCCACCTAGCTTCAGTGAGTAAATTGGGAACGTGTATGCTACAAACTTCACAGTATGACTGAAGCTCAGTTCGAATTCTTAATATTCATATGGAGACTGCAATCTCAAGTAAAATAAGACATCTGGACCAAGCTACTGAACCAAGTATTATCTAATTAATCTTCAGATACTAACTACAGTCTTTCTACATTACTTTCCATTCTATTTGTGTTATCAGTATAATTGTACTATTCAAGAAATAACAGAAGCAGAATATGAAGATACAGCAAAATCTGCCAACAGCTTACTGGCACTGCAAGAAATACTATTTTTGTGTGAGATTCTTCCTATGAAAATAAAAATGCATCAAATATAAAAAAAAAAAGGCCTTAAAAATTGCAGTCAACTACAGTTACAATCAAGACAGTACAACACTCATTCAAAATGAAGGCCTTGGTAATCCAAAAACAGTAATAGTTGCCTTCAAGATTGAGATTACTTTAAAGTAAAAAATGTTTCTGTAGAAAAAATGGTGTCCCAGTTTACTTCCATATTGACACTATAACAAATGTTATTTATTTCAAGTTACAAATAATAAACAAAACTCATTTTTGGTACTGCTGTGACAAAAGTAAATAGATACTATTTTCAAATGAACTTGTATTCTGTGATCTAAACAATTTTTTTTATTCATTTCACCCCAAGCAAGGTGACAATGCCACTAGGACAGGGAGTGAAAGAGAATGAGAAAATTTAAGTGAGGAAAGTACACTAAAAGAAAATGGTTCAGAAAGAAGATGGTGATTGACATTGCATTTAAATTTTGAAGATGTGGCAAGAAATTCCACAGGTGAGAAGTGCAAGAAGAGAAACTGGCAGAATAGAAGAGATGGCTGCATCTAGCTAGTTCAACAGTAACAAGGTGAAAGCTAGTTGCTAAACGAGTAGCATACTTAAATTCATGCACTTGAGGCACTAAGGGGAAAAGCGCATGAGAAGAATGAAAAGACAGAGGGAAGCCATGTCACATCTTTGAGAAAGTCACTGAAGTATACCAGATAAAGATTGATTACATTACAGACACTTTGAATTTTGTCAAGAATTTCAAGATGTACACCAGGAGCACCAGACCAGATATTCATATCAGTATTCAATGCAGAGTCACATGATAGATATATAAATGTGCAAGATGGATTCTGATGAGAAAACTTGTCTGGTACAACACAGTGAACCAACTTTCCTAACAATTGGTTCAATATAGTCATTCCACTTCATGTCAGTGGAAAACATGAGCCCAAGAAGGTGCAAGGTGTTGCTTTTCTGTCTGCCATGCTGATGGCAGACAGAAAAAGTTATGTGTTGATTACATGAAAGCAGATTTGTTTTAGAGGCATTCAAATTTACAAGCCATTTCTTGCACTAATTAACCACTGATTGAAGGTCCTTTTCAAAAGCAATTGCCAAGTTGACTTTGTGGAATCTTTTGGACTTGCTACTAAGACAGGAGTAAATAGTTATCATCTGCATAAATATCTAGTGGGAAACTGATGACATCGGAAAGGTTGTTGAAGATCAAAAACAGAGTAGGTCCAAGGATAAAGCCCTGGGGAACCCCCACATTAGAATCTAGAATCATGCCCATTCAACATGACCTTCATTACACAATTTATTAGAAACGATTGGATACTATACAAATTTATATGAGGACATGTCATTAAAAGATGTTAAAGTTTTTTTTAAATTTTTATGCACCAAATTTATTAGATCTGACTCATTCCACTTTTGGAATGTCCATTTTCAAATCAGACATTTCCTGTAAATTTGAGTACTGTGAAATGATTGTATGGTTACATCTTCTTGTTTTATAGTTAACTGAATCATTCTCATTGACTAATGTTAAATTTGAATAAAGTAATGGTGTCTATTTACTTATTTCATATCTCTGTACTTGGATGACATTATAGTTATAGGAAACAATCAGAAGTGATAAATTACTATCATGTCAATTATTTATATTTATTGAAAAATACAGCTTTTAGATGCAATATGTTAAAAACATGAGTTATCAAAAAATGGATGTGTATTAGATTTTGCCAACATTGAGGTGATACCTTTACCATCAGACTTATCTAAACTTCCTTCTTTAGGGAGGTGAGTTAGAACTATAACATCAAAGCTGTGATCTCTATAGCTTTCCAAAAATGTTGGGAAAATTGTCAGTAGTCAGTTCATTCAACATGTGGTGTCCATCTTTTTTTGCTATGGTCCAACCTATGCTAAGGACAGGTAATTCCTTCTTTATCCAAGAAGGAAACAGCCTAAATATCAACATTGCAGCTCTCTTGTCGAGTTGTTAATGAAATTAGATGATTTATTGCTTTCTCAGTTTTCAGGTACCAAGTACTTCTGACAATTTTAGTGCAGAGGTAACTCTCTTTGTTAAAAAAGCTTCTAACTGCAGTTTACCATCTACTTAATGTACTTCATCTGATACCACCTCTATCTTGCTATATCTTCTTATAATCTTTTGTCACTAACAGAGCTTGACATTTGTAAAACTTTTATTAATGAGGCATTGTCTGTATAGCCTTGAACTTGTGCTGATATTGGATATATCAGCACCAGTTCAATGTTATACAGACAATGCCTCACTAAAAATATTTTACAAAAAATCTCTTGGATCCTAAATTAATATTAGGACGTCATTATCAGATTTTTAAGTTTTTGACCAACAGTATGCACCATTTTTAGTCTAAAAATCTCTTGCACCAAAGAAGCAATTAAAAATTCAATTTCTGATACCAATGGACTTTTGGTTATTCTATCCAAAATTTTGATTGCCAACTGATTTGTGCCACTTTCTTGTTAACTTGGATAAAAATAACAATACCATTATGGGAAGACCTGTTTTCAAGACTGGCCTATGTAGCATCAAAAGAATATTTGTATTTTTAGCATTACCTAAGTCAGGAAGTCTGAGAGCAGCTTTCTTGGATTTTAATTTTGTCATGGCTTTGTTTGATTCATGCAGCATTTTAACAGTTATGTGCTTTCCTGCATTTCTTATGGCACATGTTTTATAGTTTATATCCAACTTTGTTTTTGAAGCAATTCACATTAAACATTTCAACTCACCTTTTTCTTCTGTAGTCAATTCATTTTTTTTTTTTTTTTGATTATGCAACTTAAATTAATTGGAGTTATTGTTGGAATATACTTCCTTCTGAAGTTTGCAACCTTAGATAAATGATTCATTTTCATGTTTGCCCACTTTGATTTTTTTTTTCATTTTTTTTCTATAACCTGTTCTTGGAAAAATGTTATTACCACAGAAAGCAGTTGTCTACATGACTAACCAAAATTCACTGTTCATGTGGTATGTTCACTTATAAAGTGATCCACTTTTATCATACCACATGAACAAGGCATTATCATATGTACTAACCTTGCTTCCCAAGTACAATAGTACTTTCTTATTCTTGTATAAAGATCCAGGAGCATCACTATAAATGCATTTTTTGAGGTAGCAAACTTTATATTTTACACATACATTATGACGAGGATGTAGGAATACTCCTCTTTCTAAAGAACTTCTTTGCAGAAATGCTGCTGTTATGTCAATTGTTTCCAGGAGCCCATCAATGCTGAGGTTAAAAATATCAACTATAGGACTTCCTACTTCAAATTGAGGAAATCATCCTAAGATTGTTAATATTTTCCTCAAAACTACAGGCTACCAATCTTGCTTTAATTTTCCATTCACCATCTTTATATTTTTCAGATATAACCAAATGAAATGAAACTGTTACTTGATTTTCCAAAGGATTTACTTGAACACATATCATTATTAATCAAGCTCTTCAGTTCCCTCTCCTTAGCATCTACCACATTTTGAGACATTTTTTGATCAACTGTTAACAATGCAGCATTTTCTGGATGGGGCAGTTCATCCCATTCTTTAACCTAATCCCAATTAATACATGATGATTCTTCTTTTTCTATAACATGAACATTCACCCAGCTCTTATATTAATACATGATGATTCTTCTTCTTCAACATGAACATTCACCCAGCTCTTATATTTTCGAGATTTTCTTTTTGTTTGAACATTATTTATTATTTTATTTTGTTTTGTTTCATATTTGCATCTTTATTTCTTATCTTGTATCTGATAAAAGAATATTTCTTTGTTGATTTAATCATATTTTTGAGCATATTGATGATATTTCATGTCCAGCATCAGTAGTCTTCTCATTTAAGAAATCAGTGTCCTTTGGTATGGAACTTAGATGACTATCATCTCTATCATCTACATACTTGTCATTGATAGTGGATTCTTAATCCATGGTCTTTTCATTTTCTATCTTATTTGTCTGTCTATTTTTAGTTTGGAAAGTCTTGTTACTATTTTGTAAATTCAT